TGGTGTCGAGGAGCTGGCCAATGTCAATATTAGATATTAGCGAACCTCGATGGAGACCGACTGAAGTAACAGATACTGATAATGTTATACGATTAGATCGGAGGCAAAGATTGCTTAGATGGGATAGAAGACCGCCAAATGAAATATTTTTGGAAGGATTTGTACCCATTGTGACAAGGGAAGACCCGGATTGGGAAGAGACAGACTTGTATGGTTTTGCAAAAAATAACCATCCTTCTGTCTTTGTTTCAACAACAAAAACTCAAAGAAATAAAAAAAAATATGTTTGGACACCGAGAACTGCAAACCGCGGTATAGTATATCAATACGAAATTTATGCTCCTGGAGGAGTCGATGTCAATGAGTCTTTATTACATGAATCACCTTGGCCTAATCAAATGGAGGTTGCGTTTCCTGGAGGAATACAAAATATATACATAAGATCAGCAAGAGAGCTCCATAATGGAAGAATTCAAAGAATTTGGATAAACCCAAACTTTTTGGACCCACTCGAATTGGAAAACATTGCTTCTTCTTCAAGAACTCCTAATGTAATATGGAGAAGAAATCACCCTGACGGTGGTCATAAGGACCCTGATGGACGTTCGAAGAGATCAGCAAGCTCTGATGATGACTTGATGTATGGTGGTGCTGGTGATGTAGAAGAAGATACATTTGGTGATGAGGTTAACCCAAAACCATTTCCAGATGGTGAATTTATGATTGAAAGTTTAAAGGATTATAACTCCTTTTTGGATTTGACTCAAAATGAATCAGGTGGAATTATCCACAGCCATGTATATAATGGCGGGGATAACCAAATATGGGTATTTAGTTATGATGAAAATAAAAAGGCTTACAAAGTAATAAGTAAGCAAAATTCCAGTTTATTGTTAAGTTGGAATAGTAATGCTACGTCTAAAGAAATTATTCTCAGAGGATATACAGAGAGTGGTAGCGACAACCAATACTGGCGATTTGAACAGACCGACGACTATTATAGACTTAGAAATCTTGTGAACTTGGATATGATTATAACCGCTCAAAATAAATCTAGTGCATTCGGCGGAAAAGAAGTTATTGTAAAAACTGAAATTTTTACTTCTGATGTGAAAAAAGCTCTCAGGCATGGAAAATTAATCCAATCTCTTTTCAGACGATTCCAGATGGTGATTATAATATATTTAATCTTGGCATGTCAGACAAAGTCGTAGACTTTACTAACCAAAACGATTTCTTGATTCATGGTGAAACCTATATGGACAATGAAAATCAAAAGTGGAAATTTACCTACGATAGTGATAAGCGAGCTTATAAAATATGGAGTGGTCGAAAGTCAAATCTTTTGTTGAGTTGGAATAGTAATGCTGCATCAAAAGAAATGATTCTTCGAGCATATACAGACAGCGGAAGCAAGAACCAATATTGGCGCATCGAACGGACTGGCGATGAGTCTTATATACTTAGGAATCTAGAAAACTTAAGTTTGATTTTAATGTTAACTGAAGTTAGCAGCCCATATGGTGGATTAAATTTAATTGTCCAAAATGATTCGGATACTAATACTAATCTACATTCAAATTGGAATATTAAACCCATCTTTTATCAGTACATTTCAGATGGCGATTATCATATATTCAATGATAACTTCCCAAATATAGTAGTTGACTTTACCAATCAAGAGGATTCTTTGATACATGGTCATAATTACTTTGGAAACAATAACCAAAAATGGGCTTTCGTCTATGATGACAATAAAAAAGCCTATAAAATAAAAAGCGGTGCACGTTCAGATCTTTTGTTAAGCTGGAATAGTAATGCAGAGCCACCAGAAGTGGTTCTTCGAGCATATACAGAGAGCGGGAGTACAAACCAATATTGGCGCCTAGATCAAGTCAATGACGGATCATACAGACTCAGAAATCTAATTAGCTTTCACAGGTTAATAGCTCTGACTGATGAAGACAGTCCTTATGGAGGTAGAAAACTTATGGTATCAGATGCCACGGAAAACGGAAACACTTGGTATCTCAAAGAAATAGGGAAAGTAGCTGTACCAAATGGGAAGTTTCGAATTGCAACTAAACTGAATTACAAAAAAGTGATTGATTCGAATCAAAATAACGATTTGATTATTTCTGAAAATCTAAATCTTGTTACTAGCGAATGGGAACTTAAATACGATTCAAGTAGAAAAGCATACAATATATATTCTTCAGACGTAAATAACTTAGGATGGATATATCAAAATAAAAACTATTTTGTTAAGCTTGGTAATATAGATGGTCCTGACCATGGAGATTGGAGATATTTTTGGACGATAGAATATAGCATGCAAAGTGGCTGCTATTTAATAAGAAGTTTACATGAGCCTTCTCATGCGGTGGGTTATTATGACAATTCAGTCATAACAGAAACATCTACATACTCCGATAATCAATTGTTTCATTTTATTCCAATTTAATATTTTTGTTGTGTTTTTACAATTATTTGTATTTTTCTTCACTGTATCCTCTGCTTGTGACGTAATGAGTCAGTAATTTTTTTTTTTAAATAATTATCTATCTTTCAATTATATAAATCATTACATTTATTAACTGCGAATAAGCTTGCTCTAACGTACCTGTACGTATAGGTTTGTTTATATTTATGCGTATCATTTTTATTATAACAGAATAATCTAGCTGGAATATTTAAAATTTATTAAAAATAAAATGTAACACTAATTTATGTCAATAAACTATATTTACTATTCTTTTTTTCTTTTCCTAGTTTAAAAAAATTAATTACAGTGACCTATCGGCTCAAACGCTAGTTGAATATCCTTATGGATGGGATATTCATTCCGGTTTGGAATTTCATAAGCCGATCATTTCATTACTATAATAATAGGCAACAAAAGATGTATTATTTGGTTGTGGTTCTAAATGCTGTTTATATATTATGAAGGATTTGCAAAGTTAATGTTTTATTATATATAAATCATTAAAGTTTTGTCTTGAGCGAACAAGGTGTCTCAATCGGCCGGAAAGATCATGGCGATGATCTTTTGCGGTACAGAAAATAAAAGTATATATATTTATCTATATACCATATAAAATATATATATACCGTCTCTTCGTGACGGGAGAATACTACGCTTCTTTACTAGATCAATTAAAAGAAGCTGTTAAAGAGAAAAGGCGAGGAAAGCTTACAAAACGTGTGCTCCTTTTGCACGAAATTGCGCCCGTGCACACCAGCCATTTTGTTACGGCTACCATTCATCGATGCGGTTTTTAACAACTGTGTCACCCACCCAACAGCCGAGACCTGGCCCTTAGCTTTATTTGTTCCCAAAGACTTTACAATTTTTAAGGTACTAGTTCAAATTGAATAAAATATACAATGTTTACTGTTTATACAATCCATGCTTGGTAACTGAGAATTCAGGCTTCTAGTTTTATATTCAAATATGGCCCGACAAACTGCTTCGAGAAAAAGAAAAAAATACACTGTTTAAGTATTCAATAAATAAATAATTAAAAAAAAGTGTTTATTCATTATAAGTACATATGCATTACAATGTGTAAGATTTGGGAACCCTTTTAAGTAAAAAAAACAATAATATAAATTGTACTGGTTGCTCGGAAGGCATTCCACGTAAACAAGTCCTGACACCTGTATGGACTTATGGTTGCCAGTTGTGGGGCTATACCAGTAATAGCCACATTCAAATATAAATCCAATAAATTCAATCAGTCCAATGCTCCCTGGTACATTCGCAATAACTACCTACATCGGGACCTTAATGTAGACGTCGCCCGTTGCACACAAGAACAAAGTGTCTTCCCTTTAATAGAGACTGTAAGTAGTGTTATTGGACACTTTCTATTTATTCCAATTTTCAAGCGAAATTAGAGTATTATCACTAAACAAATTCAAAGCCCTCGTTAAACTTTAAAGCTTTTTATAAATTTGAGGAATACTTAAATCATCCTAATCCTTGGGATTGATTTGCTCCAGTTCAAACAATTTGTATGACAATACTTGGCGATTAAAAATAGTGGCGGAACGTTTCTTGCCAGTTCTCTACGCCCTTGACTTGCGAAATGGTAGTAAATGTAAATTTACAATTAATTTAACTTAACAATTCATAAGTGTACTTGTTTACCTACATGAATAAAGATATTTTGAGTTTGAGTTTATTGTATTGGATGTTAAAAATCCTTTTTAGTAAATTAGGTTAGACTTAAATTACTTATTAGTCTTAACTTAGGGTAGATCGTAATGGTCCATGATGTCTTTTTGTAAAGACACAATCTGTATATAAAAAAAACTATAACATTAACACATAATATTATATCTAACGAACAAACTTGCTTTTATATGATGTTCGTTACAATTTTTTAATGATTTATTTTCTCTTTTCTAATATAATTGATAAATGTAATGTATGTGTGTAAAAAATTAAATGTCATATTTTCTTGTATTTTTCTAGCATTTTGTTTTTACTTATAAATAAACAATAAAATTATTGATGACATTGCTTTGATGTGACGACGTATTTTAAATGTTACTTTGATGTAATGAAACATTTAAAGAATATTTTTTTAACCTCCTCCGGGTTTTTAGTAGGTAATGAAAAATTTATTTACGCAATTTTTTATAAATATGTATTATGTTTAGGTATGCTGTGGTACAAACCACAGTGGTAGTAACTTTCTGCTTTAGAAAGTTTACTAAAAAACATTATACGATTACAAAGTAGTGCTACAATTTATTACTTAAATTCTTATAATATTAAAACAAGCAATGAAATGCTTATCTTTTTTCTGGAGCGTTGTGGTCTTCTACTCTCACGGTGTCCGGACGTTTTGGTTTGTGGTTATGCATCTATACGAATTGTGCTGAAAAAAAAACAAATAAAAGCGTAAAGTTTCAGTAATTTATTCATTCCACTTCGTGTTTTTCGTAGTTATTTCGGCTTCTGTGTTTGAATCAAGTCACAAAATTTTGCAATGGCCGGTGAGTATTTATTGTTATACACGAAATTATAGGGTAATATTTTTATAACAGAGTAACAACAAGTACAATTACCCTTTGCCCAGCAGCAACTTTTTACTCGACATAAAGAAATAAAGTAGGTTTAATTTTATTATCAGTTATATCAGATCTTTGAAAAGTTAAAGCATATTTTATTTTGCACAAAATTGTATAGACTACCGGTCAACGTATATGCATGGGGTTTAAAAGGGGTTCCGGTCTAACCTATATAATTGTTATTAAAGTTTTGATTTCAAAATTTCTATTAACTGAAATGTTACTTTTAGTTAAAACATTACTCTGGATACTTTCAACAATATTAATTTGCACCATGTTAATAAACCCATTTGTTGTTACAACCTACTAGTTACAAACCAAACGGCATATTTTATTATGATACCATAAGTCAAAAGTACATAAAAACAACAAAGCTTTCATAAAAACGATACCTTTGTATGTTTAAACAAAGAGGTTTTTATTTGGTTGTTTAGTTAAGCGCGTAAATCTCAGTAGTAATTTTATCGTTCGAATTGAAAAAGATTTTTTGTGACTCATAGTCAATTTTTCGAGGGACTCCAATGTAGCCAAATATGATCTTTATACACCCTTTGAATAATAAACTAATTAACTTTATACATTTAATGCTCTTATACGGTTAACACAAATAAAATATTGTTATTTTATACTTTACGTACAAAAATGCACTAAGCATTTTGGAGAAGAATATATTTTTTATTAAAAAGGAATTTATTTGCTTTTGAATGAGAGATAAATCTATGTTTACAGTAGTAAATAGTTTTATGATTTAACAAAATTAGGTTGGAGACTAAAAAATTTAAAGTTTCTTTTAAATAACAAATAAATAAAAATTTAAAGGATCATTAAAAAATCATTAGATAACAGAAATGTGCCATAATAAAACGTGTTTTTTACAGACCGAGGACCACCTAACCCAATCACTAATGGTATTCAGGCAGCCGTGATAGAATGGATTAGATCTCTGGACTTGGAACTGATAAGCTTATTACTGTCAAGGAGCTGGCCAATGTCTATATTAGATAATAGTGAACCTCGATGGAGACCCGCTGAAGTCACAGATACTGATAATGTTGTAAGGATGGATAGGAGGCAGAGATTGCTTAGGTGGGATAGAAGACCGCCAAATGAGATATTTTTAGAAGGATTTGTTCCAATTGTAACTAGAGAGAATCCTGATTGGGAAGAGACGGACTTGTATGGTTTTGCAAAAAATAATCATCCTTCCATCTTTGTATCAACAACAAAAACACAAAGAAACAAAAAAAAGTATGTCTGGACACCGAGAACTGCTAACCGCGGAATAGTTTATCAATACGAAATTTATGCTCCCGGCGGAGTCGATGTTAATGAATCTTTATTGCATGAATCGCCATGGCCAAATCAAATGGAGGTTGCATTTCCTGGAGGAATACAAAATATATACATAAGATCAGCAAGAGAACTCCACGACGGTCGTATACAAAGGATTTGGATTAACCCAAACTTTTTGGACCCGAACGATTTGGAACCTATTGCTTCTTCTTCAAGAACACCTAATGTGATATGGAGAGTGAACCACCCTGATGGAGGTCATAAAGACTCTGATGCACGTTTCAAGAGATCAGCAAGCTTTGATGATGACATGATGTACGGTGGTGCAGGTGATCTGCAAGAAGATACGTTTGGTGATGAGACTTATAACCCAAAACCATTTCCAGATGGTGAATTCATATTTGAAAGCATAAAAGATAATAACTTCTTTTTAGATTTGACTCAGAATTCAGAAGGTGCAATCATCCACAACCATGTATATAACGGTGGGGATAACCAAGTCTGGGTGCTTAATTATGATAAAAACAAAAAGGCTTACAAAATAAGGAGTAAACAAAACCTCCATCTATATTTGAGTTGGAATAGTAATGCTGAGTCTCAAGAAATGGTTCTCCGAGGATATTCAAATAGCGGCAGCGACAACCAATACTGGCGAATTGAACAAACCGACAGTTATTATAGGTTTAGGAATCTGGAAAATTTAGATATGATTATAACTGCTCAAAATAAATATAGTGCATTTGGTGGCAAAGGAATCATTGTGTGCAAGGAAATTTTGAACGCAAAGAACTTCCAGCAATGGAAAATTAATTCTGTCTCGTTTCAAACAATCGCAGATGGGGATTATAATATTTTTAATTGCAGCCTTTCCGATAAAGTTGTTGACTATAGTAATCAAGGTGATTCTTTGATTCATGGACATATATATTTGGACAATGATAATCAAATATGGAGCTTTAAATACGATAGTAGCAAGCAAGCTTATAAAATATGGAGTGGTAGATCTAATCTTTTATTGAGCTGGAACAGTAATGCTGTCTCAAAAGAAATGCTCCTCAGAGCATATACAGAAAGCGGGAGCAAGAATCAATATTGGCGCATCCAACGAGTTGATTATGAGTGTTATAGACTTAGGAATCTGGAAAATTCAAGTTTAATTTTAATGTTAAGTAATGAAACCAGTTCATATGGTGGATTAAATTTAATAGTTCATAATGATTCTGAAAATTATGATAATTTATATTCAAATTGGAAAATTAAACCCATTTTTTATCAGTACATTCCAGATGGCGATTATCATATATTTAATGAAAACTTCCCAAATATAGTTGTTGACTTTACCAATCAAGAGGATTCTTTGATACATGGTCACAATTACTTCGGGAACAACAATCAAAAATGGGCTTTCAACTATGATGAAAATAAAAAAGCTTATAAAATAAAGAGCGGTGAACGTTCAGATCTTTTGTTAAGCTGGAATAGCAATGCTGTGTCTCAAGAAGTGGTTCTTCGAGCATATACTGAGAGCGGAAGTGAGAACCAATATTGGCGTCTTGAAAAAGCTAATAACGGATATTATAGACTTAATAATCTAATCGAATTTGATAAGCTTATAGCTTTGACTTATAATGATAGTCCCTATGGAGGCACAGAACTTATAGTATCTGGTAATAAGGAAAGCGGTAACACTTGGTATCTGAAAAAAATAGGCGGTATTACTGTACCGAATGGGATGTTTAGAATTGGAACAAAAGTGAATTATAAAAAAGTAATTGATTTTAATCGAGATAATAATTTGATTATCACTGATGATTTAAATCTTGTTACTAGCGAATGGATACTTCGATACAATTCAAGTAAAAACGCATACAATATATATTCTGGATACATGAATAACTTAGGATGGATATATCAAAATGCTAACTATTTTGTTAAGCTGGGTAACATAGATGGACCTGACCATGGAGATTGGAGATATTTATGGACGATAGAATATAGCATTCATCATGGTTGCTATATGATAAGAAGTTTACATGAGCCTTCTCATGCAGTGGGTTTTTCTGACAATAATTCAGTCATAACAGATACATCGACATACTCCGATAATCAATTGTTTCATTTTATTCCGTTATAAGTTAATGTTGAAAACAGGAAATATCGCAACAAATTTATTAAATAATAATAAATTTAATTATTAATTATCGACTAATGAATGGGTTTTTTCATCATCATTTCAGAATATTTATAATGTTTTATCTACGTTTGACATATTGTGTTAAATCATTTCTTTACCAATTATAGTTTTGTATTATATTAATCTCTCAATTGGTAAGCAACGTTCGCAGACTTGCTTTAAACGCTCAGTCAAACATAACTGTTATAAGATGTTATATAAATAAAATAAGACTGTAGCTGTAATTTGTGTCAATAAACTATATTATTATTTTCTCTTCTCATTTTCAATAACAGTCGAAAATAGTAGCAACTGGATCATACTTCGTGTATGTACCTACATACATGCCAGATTATAAATTGATATGGCTAACAAATCGAAATAATACTTAATTGTTTACAGTAGTATTAGAAAATATATTGAGTTAAATGCTACGCTACATAGTTATTAAATAAAAGCCGCGGGCAAAGCGAGTAGTTATTATTTAGTTAAGTACGGCAAAATAACCATGAGTCAGAGTTCTGGTTTCGTCGTTTTTTACAGGTATTGAGATATATCCTTATGTATAGTACACTATCCTCCAGTTAAGTGAACAATAAAAATAATTCTTATTTGAATTATTAATAAGACATAAAATATATTGATTGGGTTGTTTATTAAATGACGCTATTTTGTTATATGAATCTTAAATATGGAACAGTTATTTTACTAATGCTTACTTAACTACTGCCAGTTTTATAAATAAGGATTCTTAATAACGAATATGTTTTTTACATTAATTGTTATACAAAAGTTGTACTTTGCCATCGCATCGGACAGTTTTAATTTTCACAATACTAACATTCCTACTCTTCCTAAAATATCAGCCCTCGAAATGTCAAATCAAACGAAGAAATGAATAATTAGTAATCCGGTATGGCCAATAAATCATGGCACGAAAAACAGGTTTGCAAAAACAGCTGATTAACGGCAAGCGCATACATTCATGTAGACTTCTACGCTTATATTTTTCGACCTTATGACTTAAAAATAGCATTACAAAATGTATGAATAAGACAGCAATAAAATGTAATAAGCCTATTTTCCTCATAATAGTTACATTTTACTTAAATATAATATCAAGCATCCAAAGTACTACAAAAATTTGCATAGGTACCTTACCCAAGCCCCAATTCTCAACATAATTTTGTGCGATAAAGTTTAATTTGACTAGAATAAGGATTTTAATAATACATAATGAAAGAATTAGATACGATAAAATAATATTTTTACATAGGTGAAAATATAATAACATTGTGAAATTGTAAACCGCTGTTTTATTTATTATAATACCAATACCTATTTATACATATTATATCTGTTTTCTAACAACTAATTTTACCACAAATTAATATTAATAAATTTGGTATAGTACAATAAATTGAAAAGTATAAGGTCATCTAATTTTATTATATTTATATACCAGTAGTAATTTTATTATATCGGATCTTTAGCAGAATGCACCTATAATAAATACTATAGGTATATAAAATAATAACTACTGTAAAAGTGGCAACTACTATTAATAGAAAAATGTATTTGTTGTCCATAGTATTGTCTTTGATTAACATAACCTTTACACATTTAAAGAAAAACGCTTTTACACATTTAAAGAAAAACGCTTCATTTAAAAAAAACGACGAAACGTCGGATAAATTTAAAATTATGTGAAATAGTTGTAAATTTATAATAATAAACATAACTTTAATCCGGTAAAAAGCGTTTTTCTTTAAATGTATTTGTTTCGTTCAAAAATGGCATTTCCTATCGCTATATTAATAGTAATATAATAATAGTTAATTGCATTCGATAGGCATACCTCGTTCTGTTTAGGAAAAACTACATTTGAATACGGTATATACTCGTACTCCAAATCAAATGGCGGAAAGTATACCAAAAACCACAATTATATTTTAGATCTACCACTGGCTAGATTTATCCTTTTCTGGTTGTATTTGACCTTTCCGTGACACAGCCATCCGCTATTTGGATTTGTATTTTGATAATTAAATAACACAACAATAGTGGTTGCCTGGAAGAGATCGCTAGAAATCGATAAGTCCGCCAAAGCCTTTTAATTTAATTATGTTAATTGTATTATATTTCTGTACATGCAACGAAGTGATAATAAATAAATAAATAGCTAAGGTTTTGTTTTTAAAACTTAAATGTTACATACATTTAGTTTTAAAAACGTTAAACGTTGTAACGTTAATTCCAGTATTTACTGCTCTCAAGCAAGCAATGACATGACAATTTGCGATTGTTAATATCAGTTTTCTTAAAATATTATAAAATTCTGTATTTGCTGCAATTCAAACTGATGCTGGCAGGTATTCAAGATTATTTTACTTTTATTGTGTGTTGTTATTGAAAAATTGACACAGTATTGCTAGTGTTTAAAATACAAAAACTTTTAAAGCGCACTTAATACGCCGATAATTTTTTTAATTTATTTATTTTATAATTTGCATTGCATCATGATAGTCTCTGGGGAATACGCTTAACACAACAATATTTGCTCCTTTCTTACAAATTACCACAGCCAATTTACTTGTCAAAAAGTTACCTGGCTAAAAATAAATGAATAAAAGCGCGCATCTGAATACAGTCACTCACTCTATTACGTGGCTTCCGAAGCGTTCGCTTGATACGTTTCCTGTGCTTTGTAAAGTGTTATAAAATTTATTGCAATGGCTGGTGAGTGGATATATAGATATCATTTTAACACGCTTACGTCAAATGATAGACAATAGAATTAAAGAAACAATCAATTCAACCAAAAATTGTCCGACTCTCTCGCATTTAATAAATTAAAGAAAACGAAGTCACGCCAATATATTATTATATATTTACATACCTTATATTTACATAACAACGTATTGCCACAGACATTGCTTAATGATCTTGAAATCTTTCTAGAATTCTTTTGTTCTCATTCGTGATATCATTTATTAGTTCGCTTTAATATCTCCGCCATGTTGAGGTTACGTGATTACATAAACATGTTTAACTTTTTTAAAACGAATCGTGGTCCAACCTAACCTTAATCCTCTCATTATGTATTATATTTCACCATGCCTGTTTGTTGTTTTTAATTTATTTTATTATTATTAATTACTTAAGATGTCATGTGTAGGTAATGGTTGCAGCTCCTTTGTGTTTAAAACTTAAATCAATTGGCCAATAAAAAGTGTGGCGGAGAATTTATTGTCAGTTCTTCTCTTGATTTGAGAACTGGCAGTAACTGTAAAATTAGAAGCATTTAATTAAATGATTTTGACTTTTGACTAAGAGTTATTATGTAAAACGTTAATCAACTTATTGATTGGTAATGATGGTTTTTAACTATGTAGTTACTATTTAAATGTGAGGACAGGGCACGTTTTATAATGGTTAATATTTTATGATTGGGGCATCCTTGCTTGAATTTTTGTTCTTACCATCTTTATGAAGTCCATATAAAACGGCTTTCGCGAAGTCTAATTGATACCTACATTATGTTACTTTAAACCTACAAATTTGTTTTTTTATCGGATTGTCTTTCATTCGGTATTTAATTTTGTAATCAATTAATATATGTCAATGTGAAATAAAAAGAAACAATTATGTTATAGCATGGTTATTTTTAAATATCGCAACGAAACAAGGATTATTATATAATAATAATATTGTAATAACAGACTTAAATAAATGAAGTATTGATTGGTATTTTATATGGAAGAGTACATTTTAATATACGGCTAATAGTTTGATTTTCAATCAATAAAATAAATGTATACATTATTTATATTATTATACATAAAAGAAATATAATAATATATATTTTCTTTTTAAACAATATGATATTAAAGTTTTGAAAATCCCGATAAAACTTACCAGCCATCGAGACCGTTGGAGTACTTGTCATATTAAATATCTTATTCCTAAAGATTTCTTTCTACTGTATCAAGCTTTTGGGTCAGGTTTTTTCAAAACGCAAGGAATGTGTCTTAACAAATTATGTAGATTTGTAAACATTCTCCTGAATTTAAATGATAATTATTTTTAACGTGATGCATTACTATAAAAATATATTTAAGAAAGGTGAGATTAATTAGTAATTTATTGATGAAAGTATAGTTTAAGATTGTAATATTATAGTTATTAGGCAATGTTTTCTTATATATCTATCAAGAAAAAATACACCCAATTTTATAATAATCATGCCAGATATAATGACAAAAGTATTTAATGGTGTAAATCAATTATTAATTAAAAAATATTAATGAATATTTTGTTTCTTAAATCTATATACAAATAAAATATTCATTATTATTAATGTGAATGTTCTAACTGAATTTGTATGAGTTAAAATTCTTATCAGCCTTATACAGGCCTGGTATCCATTATTATACATAAACAATTCTATTTAAATCAGCTAGTTTTATATTATGTTATTGTTTTATTAGAGTCAGAGTTAACCGGCCTTGAGATAAAACTATCGAACTAAAGCAAGCCACGGATATCAATAAAAATATTCTGATTTGTATAATGTGTAAAAAACACTAAACAATATTTCTCAGAATAGCATAAAGAGATACGACGCAAGCGCAAATATTTGAGGACTAATATATAAAGCAGATAGCCATCTATCGTAACAAAATTATTTCCCTACCTACTCGTCATGTTAATAATATTCTAATTTTAACATTTGGAAATTAATCAACTAGGATTTCAGCCTTAGCTTTTATAATTATTTAAACTACTCGTGAATAATATTAGACTTGTGAAAGTTAAATAAAACAGTATTTTTCTAAAAGATAGTAAAAGATGTCATTTTATGTTATAATTTAGTTTAATTAAGCGCAACGTAAATTAACTTAAAATAAAAAGAAGATGATAATTGCTGCTAGTGTTTCAGAAATGATCTTAAACAAACAAAAAACTTCATTTGTTTCAGACCGAGGACCACCTAACCCAATCACTAATGGTATTCAGGCAGCAGTGATAGAATGGATTAGATCTCTGGACTTGGAACTGATAAGCTTATTACTGTCAAGGAGCTGGCCAATGTCAATATTAGATATTAGTGAACCTCGATGGAGACCCACTGAAGTAACAGATACTGATAATGTTGTAAGGTTGGATAGGAGGCAAAGATTGCTTAGATGGGATAGAAGACCGCCAAATGAAATATTTTTAGATGGGTTTGTTCCAATTGTAACTAGAGAGAATCCTGATTGGGAAGAGACAGACTTGTATGGTTTTGCAAAAAATAATCATCCTTCCGTCTTTGTTTCAACAACAAAAACACAGAGAAAAAAAAAAAAATATGTCTGGACACCAAGAACTGCAAATCGCGGCATAGTATATCAATACGAAATTTATGCTCCTGGAGGAGTCGATGTCAATGAGTCATTATTACAGGAATCACCTTGGCCTAATCAAATGGAGGTTGCATTCCCTGGAGGAATACAAAATATATACATAAGATCAGCAAGAGAACTCCACGACGGTCGTATACAAAGGATTTGGATAAACCCAAACTTTTTGGATCCCAACGAATTGGAGCCCATTGCGTCGTCTTCAAGAACACCGAACGTAATATGGAGAATAGACCACCCTGATGGTGGTCACAAAGATTCTGATGGTCGTTCCAGGAGATCAGCAAGCTCAGATGATGACCTAATGTATGGTGGTGCAGGTGATGTAGCAGAAGATACATATGGTGATGAGATTAACTCAAAACCCTTTCCAAGTGGTGAATTTACAATTGAAAGTATCAAAGACAATAACTTCTTTTTGGATTTGACTCGTAATGTTTCAGGTGCAATTGTTCACAATCACGTATATAATGGTGGGGAAAATCAAATATGGGTATTTACTTATGATGAAGATAAAAATACTTATAAAATAAAGAGTAAACAAAATTCAAGTCTATTCTTGAGCTGGAACAGTAGTGATACATCTAAAGAAATTGTTCTGCGAGGGTATACAGATAGCGGTAACAAAGATCAATACTGGCGAATTGAACAGATCGATGAATACTACAGATTTCGAAATCTTCAGAATTTAAACATGATTATAACAGCTCAGAATAAATCAAGTGATTATGGCGGAAAATCGCTTGCTGTGCAAACTGAAGCTGGTGATGAAAGAAACTCTCAGGAATGGAAAATTAAACCTGTGTATTTTCAGCCGATTCCAAATGGCGATTATTATATATTCAATCGCGATCTGGCAGATAAAGTTGTTGACTTTAGTAATCAAGACGATTTCTTGGTTCATGGTCATAGTTTTTTGGACAATGACAATGAAAAGTGGAACTTCACTTACGATAGCGACAAGCAAGCTTATAAAATAAGGAGTTGTCGAAAATTAGATCTTTTGTTGAGCTGGAATGCTTCCTCAAAAGAAATGGTTCTTCGGGCATATACAGAAAGCGGCAATAAGGACCAGTATTGGCGCATCGAGCGGACCGATATTGAATCTTATAGATTTAGAAATATGGAGAATTTAAGTTTGACTTTGATGTTAAGCAAAGAAGACAGTCCGTATGGTGGACTAAATCTAATAGTACATGATTCTAACGATGATACTAATTTCTATTCGTATTGGAAAATCAAACCCATCTTTTATCAATACATTCCTGACGGCGATTATCGTATATTCAATCATAACTTCCCAAACATAGTTGTTGATAATACTAATCAAGAGGGTGCTTTGGTTCATGGTCATAACTACTTCGGGAATAATAACCAAAAGTGGTCATTTGTCTTTGATGAGAATAAAAAGGCCTATAAAATAAAGAGTGGCGAAAGTTCAGATCTTGTCTTAACCTGGGATAGCAATGCTGAGTCTCAAGAAGTGGTTCTTCGAGCATATACAGAGAGTGGGAGTACAAATCAATATTGGCGACTCGAACAGGCCAATAACGTATCATTCAGAATCAAAAATCTAAGTAACTTTGATAAGTTAATAGCTTTAACGAAGAATGATAGTCCCTATGGAGGCGTGGAACTTATTGTGTCTAGTTCTGAGGAAAGTGGAAACACGTGGTATTTAAAAAGAATGGGGGAAGTAACTTTGCCAAATGGTAAGTTTAGAATTGGAACAAAATCGAATTATAAAAAAGTTATTGATTATAATCGAGAATATAATTTGATTGTTATGGATAATGTAAATCTTGTTACAAGCGAATGGGAACTAAAATATGATTCAAGTAGAAAAGCATACAATATATATTCTGCAGATATCAATAACTTCGGATGGATATATCAAAATAAAAACTTTTTTGTTAAGTTGGGTAATATAGATGGCCCTGATCATGGAGATTGGAGATATTTTTGGTCGATAGAATATAGCATACAAAATGGCTGCTATTTAATAAGAAGTTTACACGATCCTTGTCATGCAGTGGGTTATTCTGATAATAATTCAGTCATAACTGATACATCAACGTACTCCGATAATCAATTGTTCCATTTTATTCCAATTTAAGAATTTTATTATGAAAGTAATACTTCAATATAATACTGTCTTGCCTTGTACTCGCCTGAGGGAAGCCATTACCTCAGTCTGGGATAATCTTCTTACTTTTGTTTTTTTGTTAAGGGTAATCGGTAAATAGTCGTATTTATCTTTAAATATTGTAGTTAGTAGATGAAAAGTTTTGTGTTTTTCTGTTTTCATAGTACCTTTTAGTGGCTGAACTGTATTATGTTTACAGTTATGCTTATATTTTTTTGGTGTTTTGTCATTTTAGTTGTGAATAAATTAATCCCTCAATTATATGACAGCTCAAAACATCAGTTCGATGCTAGCTGAGATGCCTGTTTTTTTATTACAAAATAACTTAGCCCTAAGATTTTCAATTTACTTATAATTGTAACTAAAATGTGTGTCAATAAAAAATATTATTACTTACTACTAAATTATTTCAGGACTAGTACTAGTACTAGTACTGTCGACATATAGCTGCCCGCTCTTATATCCCTTACTATGCCGACTCCGAATTGCTTAAATGTATAAAAAAAATAGATAATAATATAGGAATATTTGAAAATGTTTTAATAATGTTGTTGTTCTGAGAAATTGATAATAATAATTATTTCCATCAAACAAGCTTTGCAGTGGAAACGCTGACTTGTCTGATGTAGTCATTAAAATCCACACAAGGTGGCGCTGAATTAAAAATTATTTGCAATTATACTTTTGATTTTACTTGGTTATTTAGGTTTTTTGTGTTGAAATTCGCATTCGCATTACTTTTTTGTGACCCAAACGTAGAATTTAAAGAAAACTTCTATTACTGTGATTCTCTTATACGAAGATCGGCGACTTTTATTCAGCTTTGAAAAAACTTAACAAATAAGTACCTGACATAGTCAGAGATAATATAAAACATGATTAGAATCTCATTGAGACCTCATGAAAACCGTTTTTATACATATAGAAAATATATTATATTTTACTTAACAGAAAAAAAAGAGTTAAATTTAATACTTCAGTTGGCATCCTTAAAAGGAAGTCAACACGCCGACATTCCACAGCCACACATACACACATTGTAAACACACATTCTAATTAATTTGCGATATTTGGTTTAAAATAAGTGTTGTTTGCTATTTTAAAAGAGTACCGAGAGTTTTTGTGTTGTGTTTTTTTGTGTCTTCTTTGCCGATGAGTAGGGATAATAATTTAATGACGTGGAATAAGTGATACCTGCGTCTTATGTTCCATACTAAACATATGTTTTATTTTATAAAAATGAAATAGGTATTAACAACATTTATTTATGTACCTTCTGTAAGTGATGTCGAATATAGACAGCTGTTTACAATTTAACAATATTAATAATTTGGATACTATCTAAAAGGAAAAAGCCAAGAGAAGATAATTAATTTAATTGTTATTAAAACAAGATTCATGTAAACATCATTATAATTATCGTGGAGAGTTATAGGATTTTCCCTAATCTATTTTAATACTAGCTGGCCTGGCGAACATCGTACCGCCTAACAGTCGATTCTTTATTTTTTTTTAATACTTATTCTGATATTCGGAACACCGGTCTAGCTAGTAAGATAAAAAAAGAAAGTTTACTAATACAACAAATACGTCATTATGTCAAAAAATAAAAATTTACCTTCCCGGAACCCCTCCACTAACACTTGAACTTTATGATATGGTATTAAAGTTCAAATTGCCTTTAAATATTATTACGAATATTTTGTATGGGAATATAGAAAAGCGTGTTTTTAGACTTTATCACTCAATTTTTTTTAATTTTTCTCTATGTTAGAACCATCCTCGTACTTCAAGGAATATTATAAAAAAAGAATCAGACAAATCGATCAAGCCGTTTTCATGTTATGTCGTGACAACGGAAAACGGGTTTCATTTTTATATATATAGATTTACCATTGCCATTATTAAAATGAAATCGGACGCGTATTTTTCTATACAGACAATCTTCGTCTGTATAGAAAATGATTCTTCTTCTCAGATTTGGAATGTTTGACGATACTTTTCGCTCCCTGTTATAATTTTTTTCAATAATTTGCATTATTGGAATTGTTATAAACAACCGGCAATTGATCGGTGTTAGCTAGTCTGAGGAACAACCGTCCACTTATGATATGATAATATTACAAGATTTTAGTATAACAGAGTATTCTTCTTTCAATAACATTGTGACATACTATTTTTGCATACCCCCTTACTAGACTAAGCAATGACGTAGCAGTTAATCAAGTCACTATGCTAGAATTGTTTTGAACCTGATAGTAACTGTAATCTATGTTTTGTGGTTATGAACTATATTTAAATGGGTATTTCCTTTCTTGGATAATTAATATTGTAAATAAGCTGTAGGGATACCAATATAATAGCTCAGTTACATTTTTAACAAGTGACATAAATATTTGCATTCGGGATTATTAATATTCCTATTCGATCGGGCTTTGCAGACTAAATTTTTATGTTACGTTTCTCCAAGCTTCTATTACCGTAATGCGGGTAGGTGTTATTGTTTTTGTCTTTAAAAGAATGTTCGATTGCAAAATAATTTTCAAATAAGTAAATAAACATAAGGGAGGCCTAGGCTTATTGCGGCACCAAGTTCTGTGATTCTGTGATGTCACTGTCCCTGAAAATATAGGAATGATTCGTTAGAACTTAAGCATTATTTGAATGCGAGTGAATTAACTTTTTTGTTTATTATTTGTTTTAATGTATATTAACTTTATTTGTAATATTTTCATAGTATATGCCCCTTTCAATAAAAAAATATAAAAAATCGTAATAGGCTAGACCTTAGATACCATCACACAATGATACCAAAGAGTGTGCAGACAGTCGAGTCTATCTATTTAATAATTTCGATTATGTGATAACCGTATACATAATTCTGTATGAGACAAATAAAAAATGCAACTCGAGAAGATGTATACAGTGCTACAATATGTTTCATGATTTTGTATGCTAATTTATAGTAAAGATCGTTTGCTTACTTTTTTAACGTTAGTTGTATCGGATTAGACAATACATCTTCGTATTTATTGTTAGATAGTTGTTAATTGGAATAGGTATTTCGTTTGAGAGTATTAATTATATCCAAAAATTTAATGAATAATTGTAGATCGGTATTAGATTACAGAGTAACCCTGCAGTTTCAGCATAAGGCTGAAAACTACAAATAAAAGCGTGCGCCAGCACATAATTATGCATTGGTTGGCGAACCGTTTAGTTCTGCTCCTGTACACTTCAGTGTTTTCAGTCACTTCGTTTTAGTTCTGCAATGGCCAGTGAGTATTTTTATTATTATTTATAAAACACACGACATAAATGTAATGCAACTGTTATCAAACCCACCTATTATTTGATTTTTATTTACTGTTTTGACTTAATAAAAGCTAATTCTGTGTATGACATGAATACAAGTAGCAACCAAAGCTTCTCTATCCAATATTTGTCTTTTCCATGTCATTTTTTCGACGTCCTGGTGGATAAACATACTATTTCTAGTTTATGTTTTCACGAAACTCTTATAAAGTTTAGTTTTGAAATCAAATAAAACATATATTATATTTTCTGTGGTGTTGCGGTTGCAAGAATGTTTGTGGTCTTTATTCTGACAATACATGATAGCATTTATTCATTTTTTTAAATAAATTGGCGTTTTTGTAATTATTTGTATTGCGCGTATCTACCAGAAACCGAGGTATAATAACAAGGTTAAAAATAATTTGTATTGCCTACTTATGTATATATTAGTATATATACATAATTAGGCAAATAGTAGTAATATAGTAAATATATATATAGCATATATATAGCATATATATAGTATATATTATATAGTATATATATATATATAACTTTTCGTTAACGTTATTATTTTTGTCGATTTAACAAAAACGCTAGATCGTATTTAAAATGATAAAAGTCCAAGGATGGGCAACATTTATGTTGAATATATTATATAGAATATAAAGCTTATCACCACATTTCCCTTGCCTACATATTTCGACATAAGGAAGTATATTTAGTCAGGTGCAGTTTTAATGTTATTTTGGCGCCTATTATTGACACAATATAAACTTAATTATAAATTAAATTTTCTGTGCTTTTCCATGATTAGTCTAGTCGACAAGTTGAAAATGGAACAAAATAGAGATACTGCTCTTAAAATTATGTGCGATAGCTCATTGGATCCGGAATGACGTCTAGAAAAATGTGCTAAAAGCGTGTATTAGCACATAAAAAATTGCAAAAGTTATAGACCATTAAAGATGAAAAAAAAATGGCATTTAGTTTTTTGCCAATATTTAATAAACTATTAATATTTAAGAAATTTCAAATAAAGATTCTGAAAGAGGAGGAAATTTCCAATAAAAAACTCCTGACTCCCGGAACTCTATCTCCATTATTTATAATTTTAATTTAACGCTGAAAATAGGTCTGCGGGTGACATTTTTAGGATTCGCGCGTGGCGTCAAAAGCGACTACGGCACATTAATTAATTTATTTAAGGTATTGAATATTTTTTTTAAATTTGAAAAAATTATGGTGTGTTCTGAACACTATAATTAATTTATTCCCGTTGAAAATTTTACTTAAAGTTAATTTTTCAACAAGTTAAATAATTGTTAACTAACGAAATTTTCTCGAACGACCGTCTTAATTGTAAGTGAAAAAAAATGTTTAAATAATGGTCGTAAAAATATTTCGCTTCGTAGAGCCTTTCTTACATACATACTTAACAAGATCGTGCCATAAAAGTTAAAAAAATATGTATACTTTGTATATAACAATTTTTTTACTTAAACAAAAACTTAAAAATCCATGTAATGTTGTTAAAAAAATTTTTTTTTCTAAATCATCATATAATCGTTTTTTTATTAATACAAGATATTTATTGATTTGCAAAAAAAAAATTCCCGCCATTTGTTGATAAATTTTTTTTAAACAAATTGATTAAATCAATATTTAAAAAAAAAATGTAACACAACTTTATTACATTAAAAATTTTATGATTTTTAAAAAAAAAAATTTTCCTTAATAACAATTTTTAATATATATATATATATACATAATAATAAACAATAGAATTGTTGATTAAAAAAAAAATTTTTTTCTGTTAAATAAACGTTATTTTTTATTCAGTTTTACTCTATACATATATTCACAATAATACTTAAAATGTTTTGCATCTTGACACATATAAATTGAAAAATATAAATAACGTAGTTAGACGCTATCAAGGGGTTACTTATTTCAGGAATAATTTAGTTTTTCTTTGAAATTTATCGTTTCAATCCCACTTAGGTTCAGAACACCACCATTGTCGATTGATCTCAAAACGTAACTTTTCTCTCTCCTCTTTTTTTCGTAATTATTGTAGTTTGTTAACTATAATATGTTATGTGTTAATAAAATAAATAAAATTACAGATCGAGGACCACCTGACTTCATCACTAATGGTCTTCAGGCAGCAGTTTTAGAATGGATTAGATCTTTGGACTTAGAGCTCGTAAGCATCTTACTGGCAAGGAGTTGGCCTTTGTCAATATTAGATAGTAGCGAACCTCGATGGAGACCTACTGAAGTAACAGATACTGATAACGTTGTACGACTGGATAGGAGGCAAAGATTGCTTAGATGGGATAGAAGACCGCCCAATGAAATTTTTTTGGAAGGATTTGTACCTATTGTGACAAGGGAGTACCCGGATTGGGAAGAGACGGACTTGTATGGTTTTGCAAAAAATAACCACCCTTCCTTCTTTGTTTCAACTACAAAAACACAAAGAAACAAAAAAAAGTATGTTTGGACACCTAGAAGTGCCAACCGCGGTATAGTGTATCAATACGAAATTTATGCTCCTGGAGGAGTCGATGTCAATGAGTCTTTATTACATGAATCACCTTGGCCTAATCAAATGGAGGTTGCGTTTCCTGGAGGAATACAAAATATTTATATAAGATCAGCAAGAGAACTCCAAGACGGACGAATTCAAAGAATTTGGGTGAATCCAAATTTTTTGGATCCCGGCGAATTAGAACCCATTGCTTCTTCTTCAAGAACCCCTAATGTTATATGGAGAGAAAACCACCCTGATGGTGATCACAAGGACTCTGACGGTCGCTCAAAGAGATCAGCAATCTTCGATGATGACTTAATGTATGGCGGTGCCGGTGGCGTAGAAGAGGATACATTTGGTGAAGAAACTGATAACCCTAAACCATTTCCTGATGGTGAATTCACTATTGAAAGTATCAAGGATAATAACTTGTTTTTGGATTTAACTCAAAATGTATCCGGTGGAATTATTCATAGTCACATATATAATGGCGGGGAAAATCAAATATGGGTACTTAGTTATGATGAAAATAAAAAGGGTTACAAAATAAAAAGTAAACAAAATCCCAGTCTATTGTTGAGTTGGAATAGTAATGCTACGTCTAGAGAAATAATTCTTCGGGGATATATAGAGAGTAATAGCAGGAACCAATACTGGCGAATTGAAAAGACCAACGAATATTTTAGATTTAGAAATCTTGAAAATCCACAGATGATTATAACAGTTCAGAATAATTCAAGTGACTATGGCGGCAAAGAACTTACTGTGCAAACTGAAGCTGGTGATGAAAGAAACTCTCAGGAATGGAAAATTAAACCTATGTCTTATAAGCTGGTCGCAAATGGCGATTATTATATGTTCAGTCGCGATCTGTCAGATAAAGTTGTTGACTTTAGTAACCAAGAAGATTCCTTGGTTCATGGTCATACCTTTATGGATAATGACAATCAAAAGTGGAACTTTACTTACGATAGCGGCAAGCAAGCTTATAAGATAAGAAGCCTTCGAAAAGCAAATCTTTTTTTGAGCTGGAATGCTTCTTCAAAAGAAATGGTTCTTCGAGCATATACAGAAAGCAGTAATAAGGACCAGTATTGGCGCATCGAGCAGACCGATAATGAGTCTTATAGATTTAGGAATCTGGAGAATTTAAGTTTGATTTTGATGCTAAGCAAAGAAGATAGTCCATATGGTGGATTAAATCTAATAGTACATGATTCTAATGATGATACTAATTTCTATTCGTATTGGAAAATCAAACCCATCTTCTATCAGTATGTTCCAGACGGTGATTACCATATATTCAACCATAACTTCCCAAATACTCTGATTGATTATACTAATCAAGAGGGTGCTTTGGTTCATGGTCATAACTACTTCGGGAATAATAACCAAAAGTGGTCATTTGTATTTGACGGAAATATAAAAGCTTATAAAATAAAGAGCGGTGTACGTTCAGATCTTCTGTTAACCTGGGATAGTAATGCTGTGTCTAAGGAAATGGTTCTTAGAGCATATGCAGAGAGCGAGAATATGAGTCAATATTGGCGCCTTGACAAATTAAATAACGGATCGTACAAACTCAAGAATCGATATGACTATGAAAAGATAATAGCTTTAACTAATAATGATAGTCCCTATGGAGGAAGAGAGCTGTTAATATCTGGTACTGTGGAAAGCGGAAACAATTGGTACCTTAAAAGAATAGGGGAAGTGGCTTTACCAAATGGGAAGTTTAGAATCGCAACTAAACTCAATTACAAAAAAGTGGTTGATTTTGATCATAAATATAATTTAATTATTATTGATAATCTAAATCTTGCTACTAGCGAATGGGAAATCAAATATGATTCAAGCTATAAAGCGTACAATATACATTCTGCAGACAGCTTAAATATAGGATGGATATATCAGAATAAAAACTTTTTTGTGAAGGTGGATAATATAGACGGGCCTGATAGTAGGGACGCAAGATATTATTGGACGATAGAATATAGCATTCAACATGGGTGCTATATGATAAGAAGTTATCACGAGCCCTCTCATGCAGTGGGTTATTTTGACAATAATTCGGTGATTACGGATACATCAACATACTCCGATAATCAATTATTTCATTTTATTCCACTAAAAAATTAGATGTAGAGTCAAAAATTATTCATTTTTTTAACTTTTAATTTTATTTTATTAATTTTACTATACACCTTTACACAAGACTTCATTACGTACACTGGTAACTGTTATTATTATTTTTTGTACTATTATTCATTACATTCCTTTTCTTTCTTTTCTTGCGATTGAGCCGCAAACTAGCTGTTGTGGTTACTAGCAGAATGACCAGCGCTGTGGAACAGTCTGTTCCTCAGCATAATGCTGAGCCAGGCCCAATTGCAGCCACAGAACACACGCATTACACACTTGAAACGAACCGAATGGGAAAATGGTTTTTTTTGATATCTCTCATTTTATTTTTTCTTTGATTATTGTTATTTTGTGTGCTTATGTGTGTGTGTTTTTTTTTGTAATAAATGTTATGTCTATGTCTACAAACATTGTTCTAAAAAGATTACAAAATATTCTTTAGAAATGACTTATTATAATGTAGTTAGTAACAAGACTGTTTAGTGCATTTCAATAGGTTGTATAAAAAGCAAACAATATTTTAAATTAGTACATAAACATTCATGATATCTTCTTAAATTCCGATAGCAATACCATTCAAATCGAAATGTTGTTGTTTGAAACTTGAGTACTGTTAGTTTCCACATAAATTGTCACAGCTTTTAACTTTGTATAGCTCAATTTAATAGATTTATTTCAATCACAAGCAACTTTTCTTAAAGGCCATAAATCAAAGAGTTTGACAATCTTTACAATCGACTAAGCACTTGACAAATGATTAAAGAATCGCAGAAGAAATTGTTTAAACGTCGTAGATTGATTATTATTAGAAATTATGTTTGTTGTCTAGACTACCCTAGTCTGTTAATGATTTTATGTAATTATTTTGAAAATATCATACGTTCATTTCTTCGTCTGATCAAATAATTTAGAGAAAAAGTTAAAGATTTTTTTCTGTCTATTAAATAATAGTAAATTTATTTTAAATTATGCTTTGTATCGTCTTGTATGCTTTATTATGATTTATTGCCAATAGTTTTTTTTAAATTATATTATTAATATTTGAGAAATGCGATAAAACGCTTGGCTCTAAAATACAGCGCTGTCAAACATAGCAGAGTAAATCCAGATTTTTGCATTTAATTATATAATATAAATTGTAGTTAGTTCTAAGATTTAAAATAAAATTATTTTGTAATTGAAATTTATTCCAATAAACTATATAGCAAAACAATCTGTGCGTTTTTATTTTCCCTGGTAATTAAATTTATATATATAACCTACCCTAAATGCTGTTTGCAAAATGGCCACATCGTGCTCACATGTCAAATATAAATAAATATTAAGTAATGCCTATAATATAAAGTAATGCCTAAAGTAATAAAATATTTAGTCTCTATCAAGACTTTATATCGGTCGGCAAATGGTTATTTATTTACTGCCCTGCGATTATGTAACTCACTTTTCGAACTCACACAGCGGTTTTCGCATCAGCGTTCGCTCTCAAATCAGTCGAAAGAGTCTTTTTTTATTTTGTCGTTTTGTAAAGGGGGGGGGGTTTTTTTTTTTTTTTTTTAAAAAAAAAAGAGAGGGTGGTACAAAAAAGGGCGGGGGGGGCCAAAAAAATTTTTTAAAAAAAATAAATTTTTTTCCCCCAAAAAAAAAAAAAAAAAGAAAAACCCCCCGGCCCCCCTTTTTTTTTTCTCCCCCCCCCCCCCCCTTTTTTTTTTTTTTTTTTTTTTTTCCCCCCCCCCCCCCCTATTTTTTTTTTTTTTTTTTTTTTTTTTTTTTTTTTTTTTTTTTTTTTTTTTTTTTTTTCTTTTCCCCTTTTTTTTTTTTTTTTTTTTTTTTTAATTTTGGGGGGGGGGGGGGGGGTTATTTTTATTTTTTTTTTTTTTTTGTTTTTTTTTTTTTAAACCTACTAAAGACACAACTCACATGCCATACATATTAATATGTAAACTTGTGAAGAGGCAGTTAAATAAAAACCCCCCCATAAAAGAATTCTAAAATGTTAGTACTACACTTTGGCTCGAGTCCACTCGCACTGACCAACACAAAGAGGGGTTTACAATTGGTAAACAATTGGTTTAAAGCGGAAATGTGAAGTCAAGGTTCTTTGCATAAACCGATATTGATAAATTAGTTGTTAAATTATTCTGAATTAATTGGTAAGAAAGAAAAAAGGAATTTTTTTCGGGTTTTTTTTTTATTTTTCCCCAAAATTTTAAATTTTTTTTTCCCCCCCTTTTTTTTTTTTTTTTTTTTTTTTTTTTTTTTTTTTTTTTTTTTTTTTTTTTTTTTTTTTTTTTTTTTTCGGTTTTCCAAGCGGCGGTCGCGCTCAAATCAGTCGCAATATTTTAGAGAAGTTTAATGTCATTTTAAGTTAAAACATACGTTGCCTACAAAAATTCCAGCCTGTTCCTGTGTTACCCTTGACACTGTTTTCAGCGCCACCTATACGGGAACCCAAAAACTTTATCAAATATCAAGCCACCTTTTTGACATTTGTCTCAGCTCAGTTTAACATAAATTTTCGTAAGTGTGGGAATAACTTAGCGCAATTCATCGTACTGATTGTAGTCTCGGATTATAGGTGGCGCTATAATACGTTTAAGAATAGGATCTTATAAAAAACCTTTGAAGTGAATAAGTGCGAATATTGGACATGGAATGTAAAATAGTTCTACTTTTAAATCGGTTCTACCCAAAGAGTCTGCAACCAACCTGACAGCAAATGCGCCATAGATTAGAAATTCAAAAAAGATAAAATGTCTTCACATAAAATATGTTCTACCTTAACAGCTCATTAGCATTAGCATTCGTCATAGATTAAATCTGTCCGTCTCCTATTAATGAAAAAAAACCCTATACTGGATATCAAATAACTGTTGTATGAACTCGAGTTAGTACGAAAATGAAATATTCAAAATTGAATTGAATAATAAAAAACGATTACTACCGAGTTTTTGAAAACATTTATTACAATTTTTATATTTCTAAGAATACGATGTTAGCCAATTGATTCTAAACTCTGATGTTTACGTGCACAATTGTAGTGTCCTTTGGGCGTACTCCTACGGTGAAGAATTTTTGTATTACAACTTTCGTTACATACGAATAAACTAAGAACGACTGATTTCCAAAATTGTATAACAAAGGCTATATTTATTTTAAAAAGTAAAATAACCTAATCCTTAAATGAGTGGCGGCGCTATTGGGTTTTAATGTTATTTCTTTGAAAGTTTAATATAATAATCTCGTAAAATGTTTTGGCATATTATGAATATTGCATAAAGAGAATAATATGCGGTTTTAGGAAGTGCGGGGTGCGACATGTGAACAGATCTGATAAGTGACACGGCTGTGCGTTTTCTATTGTTACGACCAATTCGGAAGTGTGGACACCGTTAGTTACTGTTTCCACTGTTTACCAACGTTCCAAAAATTTGATTTAAATTGGAAAGTACAATTTATCATGTTAGAATAAAAATATTTAATAATTAGCCTATAATTGTTAAATAATTAAACATACAATCACACGCACAACTCGTCGAGCGTATTTGCTTATTTTGCCGAAACTGTGCAATTAAAGAAATTGGAATTATTTAATATAACCTTCAAAAACTCGTAACATTACTGTATTTAATAAATTTAAAAGGACTGGGCTGCTGGGTTTCTAGCCCAGAAACCTAAAATTCAAACTGCTGTTCGATGGTGACGTGCAAATCGTATAATAATTTTGTTTTTATGAAAAAAAATTGTCTATTATAATAAATTGTATTTTCTATTAGCGTCCTTAAAAATATGTCAGTTGCTATTTACTAGCCCTTAACTAGATTTTTTAGTCTTAAATACTTAGATCTCGGAACGGTAGGTACGATAGGTAAGAGATTCATATTTTAAATATTGTCACAATGGGGAACACACACATTAGTCCGTCCGTTACCTACTTATTGTGATAGTAAAATCATTTATAATTATATTGTGTCTTTTTTAGCTATCTCATCCTTACAACACAATGCAGCCTTATTTTCAACTTGACAAAACAACTCGAGGGTGCTTTAAATCAAGTGATCGCACCATCCTTAAATCAACAATCCGTGACCAGCTCCCCGTAATTTACCCCTTTTTCGCAACTACCTGTACAATTGTCAATTTTGCGTGAATATTTAGCTGGTTCAACTCTTTCCAGAAGCTCGAAAGCCTCCTGGCGCAATCACATGCTTTTTAGACATTGCGTCATCGAGGATTTTTGGCAATTAACTGGGAACTTCCTCGCAGGGAAAACATCATTTGAGAGATCGATATTGGTCCATTTTTAATATACAAATTCTATTAACAATTCAAACATGAACTACTAAATTGTTTATTTTTGTGTGAATCTGTTACCCTAACATTTGGTCTTCCGAGTTATGAATTTTGTATACAATGGAACAACGATGGTAAACAAAAAGCTCATGGGTCCGTGACGGATGATTGAACGTTTGTGAACTTGTGGACGGCAGGACACCATTTCGTGTTTGACGCTGCTACCGTTGACATCGGGATTATGATCAGGTATGAAGACTTATATTTCAATATTTTTTCATAAAAAATTTCATCTAACGAGTTTTTTATCCATATAGTATGAAGATGGTCTACAATTGATATGCTATTGAATAAAATTTTTGCACCAATTATTTTTATGATTAGTTTAGGAATTGTAAGATCTATCTGAGAGTAATTATCGTTATGGTCTGATAGCATATTGTTAAATTAATATTCTTCATTTATTAACTATTGATAAATCTGTCGCATCGGGCGGGATAGGGTCACACAGTCAACGTCAGTAGAACCTTTTATTGTTTTCGGTAGAATTTAACCTAACATACATATTTTTCATCTTTTGGTCACGGCCCCTGAACCCCTAGGTATAATAATATATCTACACTGTTCTAAAAGCCTTGTTAATGGATTGTGGTCTCAGTGTGGTCTTTAGTTATTGGTACGTCAAATATATATATATATTATATATATATATATATTATATATACCTAATGTATACATTCCCTTATTGTACAGCAAGTAACGTTGACTTTTTAGCATCGATGTCAGCGACACAATACTTGAAACATTACTTATATACATATGTATTTAAGTCCGTTGAAGATGTTTTATTTAAATGAAGCGTAAAACAAGGACGAAGAATTGTGATTAGATTTACATTATTCTTTTTCGTCTAGGTAATTTTACGACGGAACATAAAAGGCTAGAAGGGTAATTTGAGCACCGCAAGCGCATTGCAAGTATTAAACGCGTCGGGTTATTATTAACAACCATAATTGATAGATTTTGTAAAAATAGCGAAAGTGGTTTAAAATTGTTTTGACGCGTCAGGCGGGAAAGGAGAGTTACAAATATGGTTGGTTGCCAACTTTTTATCTGCAATTAAAGTACATTGGTAATAATTCACATGAAAAAACAAGTTCATATATGAGTATCATACTCATCCACTGCGAAACACATGTATAATACACGCTTAGCTTTGAAAACTCATTATGGTCTTGACAAGGACTTACTTCTGTATTCGTAATTACATTAAACAACCTTCAAATATGTAAGGTATTTTCGAACATTTGTAGAAAATATACGACAGTTAATGTATGGAGTCCTTTGTTAAATAATAAAAATATTTATTATGTTCAATGTGGTATTTGTAATGGTTGAATTTATGTATAGTAAAACTGTAAAGTAGGTCAATCAAGCCAGACAATGGGTAAACGATAACGGGTCGATAGTGAATAGGCTTCATCAATGAACCAATAGTAGGCTGTGATTAATGGGACGTAAAAAGTGACCTCTATCGGACATTACACTGAAGTACCTATTGAAATATTTTATTAAAATTTTTTGAAGGTCTCTGCAGTGAGGCTATGGAATTCACTTCCCGTCTCAATCCGCTAAGCTCCTCCTTCCTTTAAATCTCTAATATACAGGAATTACTTGCACTAACTGATCTGAAATTTTTCTATTCCATGGGCCCTTTTTTATTTTTGTCCCTTTCACTCACATATGTTTTAATTGCTTTGCTTTGTTTCATTAGTTTAGTGTAAGTAATTGTATGTGCGGTCACAGTATCTAATTTTATTTTTTCTCACAGTGGTTGCAAGATATCGCTGAAAGCGATAAGGCCGCCAGTTGCCCTATATTTATTTAATTATTAAAATTTTACTGTATATCTGTATTACTGCAACGTGTGTAAATAAATAAATAATACCATACACTATCGAATAGATTCGAAGTCGAGACAAGGTTTGGTATTGCTCCCGGTATCAAAAACGTAATGGATTTTCACATTGCATATTTTTTAATATGAATTGTTCCTTTGCCGTACAAGCAAGTGTCATGCAATTAGACAAATCCTAAATTTTTTTATAGAACAGGGGGCAAACGGGCAGGACGCCCACCTGATGATAGCGCCGCCTATGGACACTCTCAATGCCAGAGGGCTCGCGAGTGCGTTGCCGCCCTTTTAAGAATTGGTACGCTCTTTTCTTGAAAGACCCTAAGTCGAATTGGTTCGGAAATACTTCAGTGGGCAGCTGGTTCCACAAAGTGGTGGTGCGCGGTAAAAACATTGAAGTTTATCGCATGCTACTAGTGTACCTATCCATTAAAATATCTCATATTAGTGATATATTTTTCCTAGACAAAGGTTAGAACGATGAGAGCAAATAAAATAATTTAGGCAGACTTCATGGTCAGTGGCTTGTGACGCCATTTCCGCTATCCCATCACTATTCACATCCGTCCGTATGAAAGCCTACAACAATTTCGTATTTACCTAATAATGTTTGATTCAACGAGATTGAACAGATTATGATTAAAATGGTTGTTCGAGAAAAAGAAGTTTAAATAATATCACTTTATTGTGTAAAAGCTGATACGGAAAATATTGTTTCACCTTATTAAATTATTTTCAGAGAAAAGTTTAATAGTTAAAAAGTAATCCACTTATTTTACGTTAATTCAGACCAATGAGAGAGTGGTAGGATGGTAAATATTTGGGTTTTTATTTCAATGCCAAATCATAAAAATTGGGCTGGGCCACCCTTCTCACTCACAAAAAAATAGTTTTTCTTAAATTCCCAGACCTACCGATATACAAATTCCATAAAAATATTTCAAGTCGTTTTGGAGTTTGGTTACAACTGTTACGAGAATTTTGATAAATAGATTACTTTACGATTTTTTTATCTACATTCATAAAAATATTCAGGCAAGTTTTTTTTACTTTCAGTTGATACAATGATGAAGACTGCAACTTTAATTGTCCTCTTCGTGCATGCCGCTGTCTCATTTGATATACAGCAAGGAGTTGATGAAACTACTCAGGTTAATATTAATTAATTGAACATTGTAATTGATAAAATATAGGCTATAAATTTATGTGTATAGTTGCCAACGTCCATACCACGTTGAATACACCGGTTCTCGTCCGGTCACCGAAGTTAAGCAACGTCGGGCGAGGTCAGTACTTGGATGGGTGACCGCCTGGGAACACCTCGTGATGTTGGCAATTTTGTATTTTTTTTTATTTATCTCTAAAAATATATCGCAGTTCTTGTGTTAATATTTTTATTGTTGTTTAGGCGATAGAAGAAACACAACGAGGGCGCCGAGACGTTATAGAAGAGGAAAAGTACTATAATATTCGAACTGAAAATCGGAGAGACATTAACCATCAACCATGGCTGCCCGCGCCTCTTCCACCTGAAGACCCAACCACAAAGATTTCTATCACCAACTACTCCCCTGAACCATTCTATCAGACCACAGAAGCTATCACAGACAAACCAACAGGCAGAGGTGCGAGAGCGTCAAATGATAATTGGGTAAAACTTCCTTATCCCAACCAAAACGACGTCCATCGAGAGGACATACTGACTCCTCCAAAGCCTCCAAACGACCTCATCAACTCACGAATGCCCAGAGTCAACTTCGTAACCCAAAACAAACAGTTAGAAGCTTCCGAATCAAGAAATGATAAACAGGCCATACAAAGAGCAACACGTACCGATGATTTAAGGACCGAGTTCGTTCGTCCCGAAGAAGACAGAACGCAGTACAAGCCAGTGTACCCACGACAAGCCGTTTATTACCAGGAAGACAACAGACGATATTCCAATGATCGATATTATGCCCCTGACGATTTATATAGACGCGACCCGTATGATCTATACGACCGCAAGAGGTATTATCCAGGCGCGTCGAGAGCGGACAGATACGACGAAACATACGACAACTATGTGCCAAGGAAACCGAAGCGGATAATATACTACGCGCATCTTCCTGAAGTTGTTCGCACACCGCCCAGCGTTGATTTAAGATATCGCTACTCCGTTGACCCGTACAGGCGCTTCGACGATGATTATAGCGCGAGAACCGGTCGGTTCGACTACAGATTCAGAAATAGGTATCCTTACGCGCCAGTAAGGAAAGACGAACGTAGATTCGGTTATAGAGATTTAGCTGGCGCCAGCACAGCCAATAAAGACAAGAAGATTGAGGATAAAGTAACGCCTACACCGATCTTGCCTCAGAAAGATGACAAGTACAAGCCGACAGTAAACAGTAATAGGAACACGATAAATAGTCATCAGTACCACGACACTGGTGACACTTTTAATGACCAATTAGCTCATAAAGGTTTTAAGGAGCCCGGACGATCAGATGACAGCTACCATAGATTCGAAGAACCGTTTTTCCACAGCGCAGTAGATAATTCGTATCAAAGGAAATACTGACATGTCGATTATGTATAGCAGGCAAGTTATTATCGTAATTTATTTCGAATAAATGTAACAAGTAACGGTTGTTTTAATTATTTCGAGAGAAGAGTTCGCGACAAATTATACAAGTAATAAATCGAGCATTTAAATTAAAACACGGGAGGGTGAAGATGAATTTCATTAAGAATTAATTAATGTCATTCTTGGACCGTTTTGTTTTTCCGGGCGAATAAAAAACATCTGTCGGGATGTACGAGCAGCGACGCGTTTTCTTGAGGTAATTAAGCAATAAATTTTGTGGCTGGCAACATCGCGAGGTGGGGGCCAATTACGTTGCGCATTTAAGAAAATGAATGTTCACCACTTGAAGACACGGACCTATTCTGAGTTCAGATGTGCATTTACTGAATACACAAGAAAACTTCTATATAAATAACACTACAGCTGAAACAGTAGTTTTTGAGTTTATTAGTGACAAACATTCCAGTCTTTCTTTTTTATAATATGAGTAATGATTTTGTAGGTTATAAAACAGGTATTTTGTTATGTCTTTGCCTTAATTTGTAATTTGTTGATTTCCTTATATATTTTTTATAGGATATATACAAAATATGAATTAATTGGTGTATTTCGTCCATAAACCCTGCTCAGAATAAGACCGCAGAGAAGTTTCAAAGCCATCTTGACTAATTACAATTGTGGGCTTAGAAAAAATCCTACGACATGACAGCTTGTAATCAAGGAAATAGATTTAGTATTTTTTCTACATTTTAAACGTTAGGGCCAGGCGTTCGCGGATTAATGAGACCACGATAAATTACACGTAATTAAATGGGGTCCCAGTGAGGGATGAAACATTTAAAACGATTAGGATTTTGACAGATTGTGTCATCACTGTTAGTGAAGCCCCGTATAGTAAAGGAGTTTATTTAAGGTATGTTCAATGGGACACGGGTTTTCAGGATTTTTTTTTCTTTATAATTCTTGTCAATACGTAACATCTTAAGTTAAAGTTGTTAATCAAAAAATGCCTGTTAAATTAACACTACGATCTTACGCAAAATTTCTCTTTTAAATTATTATATGACTTTAACCACACGGTAGTTTCTTAGTAATGTCACTCGTTTCGCAATCCCATATATAAATATATAATATAATAGTAAATTAACAAATTAGTCAAAATGTTTAATCAATTTAGAGACAATACCCATATAAAATAATAAACAATAGACCAAGATGGTTCTCATAATAAAATCATAGTTACGGAAAGGGTTGACAGATGCGACCCCGGGGCGTACCGCATTACATAATTTGCCAAACAGAGGCTGTCTTGAGGCAAAATTCATTACTACGGGACCATCTTATGTACGGACAGCAAGAGCAGAGTGTGGAATTAATATATAAAAATATACAAACTTATTTTACACGTAAGAAGAAAAAATATAGAAGAAGCATTAGAAGAAGGCTAAATTTCTTCATCGCATAGACAATAGATGAAAGTAAGAGATTTCATTGCGCATGTTTGAAAATACAAAGAACGCGTTGGTTCCATTTAAATTTAAAAATATGTTCCATTTTTAAAATCAAAAGCCGATTACTGAACTGTAGTGGCCGATTAATATATGTAGTTAATATAATTTTTTTACACAAGCGAAGCGATTAACTGACAATACTTTAGCAGTAATCATTTGTTTAAAAAAGCGGGGTTATATTATCCTTTTCTCTTCTTCTGACGTTCCATATTTGATTCTGAATGTAATCCTGACCAAAACTGTTTAGCTAATTGGGTAACTTGTTTGATAAAGGGTTATACCGGGATATTAGGTATCTCTTTAGAACGATATAATATTTCCTGTGCGCAAAATATCAAAAATGTTTTAATCAACTCCAAAAATATTTTTGTATTTTGGAATGCTTCTTTTTATTTGACAGTCAAATACTAATATATAAGTTAGTGGCTAACTTTACGCATCTAACAAAACCTCACCTATTACGCGATATTATATATAAAAAATACTGTATAAAATATTATTATGTTCGCATCTCTCTCAAATATCAAAAGCCGGCAACGCACCCACAAAAAATGGGTGTCCATGGGGTACGATGACTGGCCTTTTTGGGCGTCCCATAGGACTCGTCCCATATTCTATAAAAAAAAATTAACATTCCATACTTTTTAAGGTCTACGTTCGAAGAGTCATTTTGGGTTTGATTGAATTGACGTTAAATTTATGTGTGCCCCCGATTCAAAAAAAAATGTAGAATATACAATTGCGACCTGCTTAATAAGCTTTTATAATAAATACTCCCGTCTTACTCCCGTAAGACTAACTATCTATCTGAGTATATTAGATTATTTTTAAATTCAATGCCAATTTGGACACGAGTTAAATAAACTAATTAAAATTAAGAAGTGCCGCATTAAACAATAACTATAATAATTTAATCATGTGATAGTCCTACCATTGACATGCTGATAACAATTTGCTAAATTGCCTTTATGTTATAGTCACATACAAGACAGGGGTGACATTAGGGTTGACAACATAAACTTATATTTCTTAAACATATGGAATTCTATAAATTCTAGTTTCACATATTTCGCATGTTTTGAATTCGTTCTTGGCGAAAAAATATCGCTTTTAATAACAATACCCAATTAATCAGATGCACAACTGTGTTTGCCCCATAATGGCTTAGTAATAATAATGATATAGGCTTTTATTGAGATCGACTTAGATACACATATAAACACAGTTCATTATATTAAACTAGGTATTAGAAGGTTGAAAAAACTATTGTAATATTTGGTTATGTTTTTGTTACTTGTTGGTGTTGTTTTTGTTGTAATACGGAACTTAAATAATGTGTAGCTTTTTTTTTTTTTTACTTGGGGAAATGCATTGCGCATACCCTACCGCGGTGCGACTGCTTAGTGCGGGAGGGTTATGTGGGACTCGCGAATGTGCATACCCACTAAAACCCCAAGGCGCCACCAACAATCGCCTTAGGCGGGATGCGGTAACAGCAGAGCCTTATCCGCTTCCCGACATGCGATGCGGCAGTTGTGTCCGCCTCTCCCCGCCCATTGTTGATTTGTGAAGATACTTGACACAGCAAGTATCCTTCACAGATCGGGCCATACGCTTTTAGGAATAGCTAGGGGAGATCGGGTCCAGTGCTTGCAGGGATGGATCACCATCCCTTCTTTTGAACGCATGGACCCCTGCTTCCCCGCTTTGGCACTCTTTAGGTGGCGAGGATTTGACGGGCCTGCGGTTTCTTTCGCCGCCGCGGACGGGTTCCGGGACAAAGCTCCCTGGTTCTTCCCGCTTCTTCTTTGACTTTCATGACCGACTCGCAGAAATTATACAAGATTTTCCATGAGCCGTCATTTCCTGCGCTCAATATGGCTTTCACTACGTTTGGCAGTATTGCATCCTCGCCCTGGAGAGCATCTAACAAAGGTCTCCTTTCCGCTTCCCATGCTGGGCAGTCCCTCAGTGTATGCAGGTCGTCGTCCCGGTTGTCTCCGACACAGTGGTGACAGGTTGGTGACTCCTCACACCCTACTACTTTGTGCAGATAACTACCAAAACATCCGTGTCCGGACAGCATCTGCACAAGTCGATAGCTGAGGTGACCCCAGCGCCTCTTTACCCAAAGTTGAAGCAAAGGTCTGAGGGCTTCGGTAGTATATTTACCGGCACTCGCACCCGCCAGCTCGCTTTCCCACTCTACTAACAATTCCTGGTCTTCTAAGGCTCGCCACGCGTTTAATTGTTCCAGTGTGGGGTAATCCCCTTTATCCCGAGCTTCGGCCCTCCTCCAATATACTTCGCTAAAAGCAGCCGCATCGAGATGCCATGGCGCGGTACCGGCTATAACACACACTGCGTCATAAGACACAGTGCGGTACGCCCTCGCAACTCTGGCAGCGACCACTCGCTGCGACTGCCTGAGTATTGTGCGATTATACCCGGTCAGTTTGTCGGCCCATATGGGACATCCGTACAGTGCTTTTGCCCGGATCGCATTAGCGTATAAGAGGCGACACCCCCCACTCGGCCCGCCGTAATATTTGGTTACTATTGTAATATTTGGTTATGTTTTTGTTACTTGTTGGTGTTGTTTTTGTTGTAATACGGAACTTAAATAATGTGTAGCTATCCTATCCTCCATGGCTCAGATGTGGAGCACAGGGTATCCACAGTGAGCCTGCAATACTTTTACTTCGCTCACAGTCTTTCCGGATCTCTTTGCAACTGTACGTCGTCAGATTTGCTTGGGATACCCACGCTTCAACTTTCCTTATGGATTCCAATCAAGCACCTGCTATGATTGGAATCTCTTTGGAGAGCTATCCAGTTCCACATGTATCACTTGATCTGCTGGCTAATGGAGATTTCTCGGCAGACCTCCAAGTTGTTCGTTGGAGATTTCGGACCAGGAGATACCTCGAATATGGCAGAGACAGCGGTTGACGAAGACTTAGAGCCTGCAAGCGATGCGGATAAAAATATAAGTTTTAAAATTGATAGTAGGTACTTAATATTATTAAGGTAGGGCGTTATATGTATCCAATGTTGACTTTACAAATATATTAATTTATTATCATTATATAATGATAGTTGAGGTTCAATGTAAAATAGGAAGTACATTTGTCGAGTGTAGAAACCGTTTATCGAATCAGCGGATATTATTTTTCTTTAACGCTTCTCAAATGTGTAGCAGCCCTATATTTTAGTGAACTAAGTTTAAACGAGGTTAAAGGTCCCAAGATTCGTGAAATTGATAATTTAACCCCATACACTAACCGTTACATTATTTATTCAGTAATTCCGGACATCGTTAATATTTACACTCATTGTCCCTTGTCCCGTTCCAATTAACTCCGAAATGGATATGCCCGATTATCTAGGATTAAACTTAAATAATATAAAAGGGTTTAAAGTTGTTTGACTAGATAAGTGCTCGGAATTAAGATTTGCTAAATAATCCATTTTTAATTGAATCGTACCCTGTAATTGCAAAATGATTATTTTATTGCGTTTTTTTATCTACCGAATCGGCGATATTAGCTCTGTGGATATTGAAAGAAATTGGGGTATGGTTGCAGGGAAACACTTTAAGGTTTGTTTTACAAATTACCTGATGAAGGTATTGGAGCATTGCCGCATTACTACTCCTAGGGTAAGATTAGAATCGAGACTTAGAAAAGATTTAATTAATTAAAGGAAAGCTCGTTTAGCTTAGCGCTAAGTCGGACTCCCGTAAAACTTTATGTATTTTTACATACAGAAGGTATAGTTTGCTAAGTTCTGTTTCTGAATCGCATCCTTGGGACTGTGCTTGACTCCCAAATGTCAAAAACCAGTACGGTTTTTACTTAAGAAAGTCATATATGTTTTATAACAGTTAGCAAACGGGCAGGAGGCTCACCTGGTGTTAAGTGAAACCGCTCATTGCACACCTACATTGCCAGAAGGCTCGCAAGTGCATTGCCGGCCTTTTCAGAATTGGTAAATTTTTTTGAACGACCCTGAGTCGAATTGGTTCGGAAATACTTGGGCAGCTTCTGCATAGTAGTGGTGCGCGGCGAAAACTGTCTAAAAAACGTTCAGTTGTGGAACGACCGACTTCATGGTGATAGGGGTGAAATTTTGTATTCTGCCTCGACGTCCGGTGATGAAACTCAGCTGCGAACAACTCAGTCACAGTGTGCACTAAGTCTCTAACTATTAATTTGGCTAATTATCCTATAAATATATATAAGAACTGTTCCTGTGTTGAGATTACTCCGAATAAATGACGTAATTTATAAATAGGTATAATACCAATAACTTAATATCCATGCAAATGAGTGCTTAGCCATATTTTAGTAATAAACAATGGCATTATTTAAGAGATATAATCGGATGTGTCACCGGCGTCTGTCACCATAAATTTTGCGCAGTTATGTCCGCGACAATGTTTCGTGAGCTTTTCTTGGAAAGAGCTACATAGGCTTTTAAAGACGAGCGTTAACAACGTCAAAAAAGCTCTTAACGGCTTTTGCTTTACTACGAGGAGTCATAATTAGGCGTAAGCAGAGACTTTTTCTGCTGTGTAATTATTTTTATATTTTCATGCGTTAATTAAGAAAATTTATTAACCTTAAGTTATATATAAGATAACATTGTATGAATTATTTTCGCTTCTTTGCCAATATCACACGATAAACGCATTCGCAAATTATCTCCCACCACACTAAAGGGCTCTTACCAATTAATATGTTTATGTATATATAATGTATCTATGTGTCAATTAAAATTTAAAAATATACATAAAAAAATTATTCGTGTTTAACACATTTGTACCAAAGTTTGTTTGTTTATACGTAAAGGGTGTTATTAATATATAATAAATTTTAAAATTGCATGTTTGTATTTCTAAATCTAGTTTATTGTTATTTTATTATTTATTTTCTCTTTTATCATTGTAATTTTTCCACATAAATTTTCTGCACCCTTGTCATTGATGCATGCATGTTTTGTGTATTTGTATGTCGTGTGTCTGTAAGTGTGCCTTTTTTTAAATAAAATAATTGTTATGAAGAGATTTTATGAAATAAATGTTGTTTCAATACCAATACCTATTTAGTTTTTGGTTAATTATTAGATAGTTTTAAGATTTTGTGTATATAAAGTTAACGTTAGAATCTAAAATTATGTCTACAACACATATAAGTTTCATTCACCAAATAGACTTGCCAATATATAAGACAAATTGCTTAGCGATACGTCTAACACATTTTATTATCGCAAGCCTTATGCTCATCTCCACCCATATCTCATATACACCGAAGTCGCTCATTTTACTTTATGAGACACTTTATTAGATGCTTTATAAGACAGTCCGAAGGTGTTATTCGCTTTCCGAGAAGAATTTTGTCGTCAAGAATGAGTATTAAAATAAATATCGGTATTATGAGATTTACGGCGCCAAAGCAGTTGTTAGGGGCTTCGGAAACTATGTTCAATATACGTACTTTGTATTTGATGAGTCTGAATATTGTGGCATATGAAGTGTTCTCCTAGTTTAATATGAAATCTAACAATTAATAATTATTCATATTTATTTACACTTACACACATAAAAATAGAACACGGAAATCAATCTAAAGGCCGAGTGCAACGAGCGGCCCTTTCACTTAAAAGCGATCTCCTGCTTGTAACCCGTACTAAAAGAGCGAACACGGTTTTAATTAGAATTGATTACAATTATTGTTGTCAAAATGACCGTCAATTTGTGCTATAAAGCAAATATGATTACAAATTGACGGCACGCGAAATCTTTTATGTACGGAAGTTCATTTAGTATAATGTAAAAATTTTAATGATTTCTAATCTTATGTTTGTTTACTATTGATTACTATTACGTACTATTTTCTTATGTTTACTTTATATATATAATGAAAACTCAAGTAAGGATCTACTTAGTCTACATACTACTAGATCTACTTACAAGTCTATATGTACTTGTGTTTTCTGTTTCATTTATATTTGCTTATCTATTTAATCTGTTTTGGCTTTGTATATTGTGTAAGTGTTTTGTTAAACATGTATGTTAGCTGTAAGATTACTTATAAATAAATTAAAAAATACTTTAGTGCTGATATCTTAGGTTATTAAATTTATTTATAAAGGAAGTACTCTAGTAAAAACACTGGCAAAGGGGTGTGCAGACGATATATCCAAACGGTTTCGACACGACCCGTCCGGCTTGACAAGATAATATCGTGCATAAATAATACTGGTACCAGCTATAAAAGACAATTGATACGTTATGAGTGGCGGCGAGTATTTATTGTTAGTAGTCCCATCGACACGAGAGCGGCCATGGCTGTATAATGCCCACTGATCGTTCGTAATGTGTGTACGGTGAAAATGTTGTACTATAAATTTCTGGGTAAGTATGCTCTACTTCAATGCATAATAACTTCCTAACACAGGTCGTTACAAACATATGCTTGTCTTTCATAGATCGGTATCGATATCAACCAGAATCGTTTCGCTAGGATCGAACTAAGTTTAACAATGTGCCCTTTAACCACATAGCCATCAAGATGCATTCAATGTCGTTTTCACATTTACAAGACGTTTTTAGGTGATGCAAGTAAAGCTTTGATATACAATGCAGAGTGCAATATTTAAAGTAAAGCAACATACAGATTGCAATGTGCAGGTCCCACGGGTCGGTTGCTTTATAGTCTTGTCATATCGCTTAATGGCGGCGCGCTCTTTGTCGCGGTATGCCTACTATATCTGTCGTGCGACAACGCGCCACCTCGCGGGGAGCCCTGTATAGGAACCTTATTTTAATATAGTTAATAAGTATCAAGGCTGTTGTGTTCCACAGCCTATGTCTGATTCTATAGATGTATTGTCTTTTATATTCAACACACATTAACAATATGTATTTATTTTTGTTATTTGTATGTTTTTGATTAAGGTAATAAAGTATAAATAAATAAAATATTCTTAACCTGCATAGCAATAATAATATTATCTAAATTTTTTAAATAGAAAATTAAAACAAATTTTAAAAGTATGGTCCCTGTGGCAGTATACCTTTAACGCTGGCAGTATTCCTATATTGCGATACCTATTCGTTGAGCGAGGATAAGTAAGTTTTTTATATTATATTATGATATAAATTTTAACTAACACATTTATTTAGAAGTGAAAACAAATTAGCAATCGCGCTATAATATGAAAGTATTCGTAACTACTTCGATAATACTTTTTGAAGTGAAACTTCTTTATCGAGGTTGGAAAAAAATTTAGTGTAACATTTTTGCGTTACGCGTCACATTTTTCGGTTACGCGCCATGTTGCTTTTTGAAGTCAAACTTCTTTATCGGCGTTGGAATGAAACTTCTTTATCGACGTATGGGAGAAATTTTGTAGCAAATCGTCACGTTTTTCAATGATAGTAATAATTCTATTACAATTAATGAAATTCTATAATAATCTTCGTAGTAATAAGGTAAAATGAAATATTTGTATTCATGTCCATGATAATAAAAGCCTTTTGTTAAACTTTATCTAATTTAACGAATTTCTGTAAAGTTGCATATAGTAGATCATTTTTCGAAAAATAAGATCATAAAGAAGTTTCACTTCTTACGTGTGTACACCTAGTACACGCACAATTTATTTTTATTATTAAAACGATCCAAGGTGTTACATTATCTTATCAAACGTTTGTATAAAGACTTTTTCAGCAAAAATATAAATCAAATGAACTTCGCCAAAGTTTGCGTGACCGCAAAGTTGTCTGTCTTAAACGAATATAAAGTTTTGTATAGAGTAATTTCTTTATAGACATCACATATTTTGTGTTGTTTTATAGTTAATAACTAAGAAAAAATAATTGTAGGTCTAAGGGTAAAGGGGTAAAGGGTAAATTATACAATATATTCTATCTTACTATAAACAGT